GGTCCTTCACCCCAAGATGACCCAGGTTTTGGGACAGCTCTTCGCAGTTCCCTCCCCACAGACCCTAGGCACTTTTACTCTTTGACAAACAGGTCCCGGAGGCGGTCCCATCCGGATTCCGAGTAATCGGGCTCCGGGACGTAGGAAGACAGCTTCTCTCTCTTCGCGAGAGCCTCCGAATCGGCGGCCACAGCTCCCGCAGCAAAAACCCGAGGGAAAGTACTCCGCTGCCTGCAGAGGAAGCTCTGTAGCGCCGGCGGCCGCACATCCATGGCCCTCTCCGAACCTGTGGACAGACACACGCTTAGGTTCTCAGTGCTCCAAGGCCTCCCGGAGAAGCCGTAGGAGGGCAATAAGGATAACTGCAGTAATGAGTGGGTGAGTACCCGTGCACTAGGCCCCAGCTAATCTGCTGCCGGACTCGCCGTCACAACTCTCAACACCCTCGTCCTCCGTGCGGGTCCTCACTTTGGAGGACCTCGGATACACGAGACAGGAAGTCCCACCTTCACCGGGGTAAAAGCTAATGGGCGGGGCGACGGCGGAGCCCTAGTCAAAACACTTCCGGTTGGAGGCGAGACGAACCCCAGAGGTGTCAGGCCCGCCCCCGGAAGCGAATTGAGAGTGAGTAGCCACGGCCAGCACCGTGCACCCCGCCTCCCGCCCGGTTTCTGTGGGTTTCTCTCGGCTTCCTGGGCTACACAAGCCGGGTCTTGGGCAGGTTCCAGGCGACGAGATGTTGTCACAGGCTTAAGTAGTTTAGCGTATTTAAAACTCCGGAAATTCCACACAGATGAAAAAGAAAGTGCAGTATTCAATACAAGTGGAGAGGGAAAGGGAAGGACAATTTGCACAAATACAAGCCCAACCTACCTGTCACCGACGTGCAGAAATCTCCCGGGCTGGGCGGGGTCCACCCATGCTCTTCAGTTCTGGTTTCTGGAAAGAACCGTGGCATTGAAGATGGGTCTTGGTGCCATATACACCGGGATTTCCAGAACGCTTTTTTGAAGAATCAGATTTGGGCGAGTCTTCACAAGATGGATTTTACCCCCTTTAGTTGATATGTCTACTGTTTCTCAAAAGGCAAGACAACTTCTGGAATTTCTATCAGGTGTTTTTCTTTGATATTCCAGCAATAATTTCCCTTCAGTACAGCCTCTGCTAACATATGCTTCGAGGTATAAATTTAAAATATTCCCAACCTGGTTTGTGTAATTTCATTTTACTGGCAACCATAGCCCCTTATTTTTTGCCAATCCCTAACCCTCCTTTATTCCTTTCTAGATGTAATTCACAACTGCTACACTCTTTAGTAGAATACAACAAATAGAATTTTGGAATTTGATAAGGCCCAGAAGAGTGACTGACTACAGGGACTACCTTAATTAGTGACAGTCATCTGGGAGACAGGATTAGATTAACTCCCAACAGAGCACTTACTACATTGCATCACAACTTCCTATTTACCGATGTGTCTCAGTAGACTAATTCTGAGTTCAGAGACCAGGTATATTCATCTCTGTATGTCCAGGTCCTAGCATTGTGTCTGGCATGTAGGTTGTTGAATGAAGAATTCAGATCCCCTTACTCCTGGCTTTGAGTCCAGGTTCCTGCTTATCCCATACAGATATGGGTGGGCACCAGGATAAAGTCCCAAGGCCTGAAAATCCAAGAGAATGGCTGTGAAGTCTGCAGTCTACATGTAGAAAAAGTTAAATGCTTGTGATGATTCCAGAATCATTCTGGGATGAGGGAGGACTTGGAATTGTGGAGCAGGGATGTTGGGCAGTTACTAAAGTCATCTGTATACAACTCAAATGTCCCCAGGACTCGCTACCCTGTAGATACAAATGATGTCTTATTAACAGGCAAATTTCACTGACTCTATAGCTGCCTTCTTTGCTTCTTTTGTTAATTTTGGGAGCCTCATTTGTAAGGTTCCCTTTGCCATCTAGTAGTACCTCGGGAAGTCCCCAGACCTTTGGTGACTGCTCACACTGTTGCTGCTATTCCATCTCAGCTCCCTAGACTCTACCTTCTGTCACACTCCTGCTTCTCCAAGGCCCCAGGTCTTACTTTTTCTTATCACTAGGGAAATACTCTCCTTACTCTGTGATCTGACCTTTTTGAGGGGTCTCAGAACAACGCCAAGCCAAAAGGTGTTATGAGGTTTGCTTGGATTAGTTTAAATACAGCTCTCTCTTTCCCAGCATGTGCCTTTGCCACCAGAGTAAAGGCATCAAGGAAGGATTTCAGTATAGTCAGCCTACCTGGAAACACCATTCTCCTACCCTCAGCCCTTGTTGCTGAGTTCTGCTCATAGAACTCCGTAACTTTTTCCTCCATCGTGAACTTTTTCTCAGGAGCTGAAAGTTTCCCTTTCCCTGCTACATTCACCAGATTCTGCCCTTGCTACATATATTACAGTTTCTTGTATTATATATGACATAAACTGTTTTCATAGTTAGAATGAATTTTTAGAACTTTTAAGGACTATTCATCCCACAAAGCATAACTCAAATTTTATCTCCATGAAGATTCCCATTTGCATTAGATGGAAATTTCTTCCTCTTCTGAACTCCAAATCTCCATTTTCTGTATGAGTAATTGGCCTTATGATTAAGGCCTCATGTCACCTTAATCACCTTCTGCCTATGAAGCCTCTCATATTGTTATTTACTTTATCATCTCAACTACAGAGCCCTTTGAGGCTAGGGAGTCTGTTGTAAACATTTTCTTATCTCCTACTGTTTGTGCACAGTAGATGCTCAAGAAGTATTTGATAAATATTAAATGATTTGTAGTTGTATCCCTCTGCCTTACCCACAGCACCTTATCTCCGGATGCAGTAGGATTATCTTAAGTGATGGCATATTTAGATGCATGGGAAGATGGATTTTTGTGTACTTCTGGGCGTTCTTGATTGTGGTCAGTGTAGGGGTCAAGGGTAGGGAACTATCCTCTCTGGAGCTGAACCAAAGGAGCCCATTAAATTGTTTTTCTCTTGGGAATCTCAGGCTGAGAGACAGAGCCTGACAGTCTCTGGAAATGTACACAGCACTCCAGAGCAGTCCAAACTTCTTCTTGAGGTTCCTGGAGTTGCCCTACTTTCTATCCCTCTAACTGCTAGGAAGTTTGTTTAGATTCTTCGAGATGCCCTTATATGCTTCTAATAAGTTCTTTTGCTTAAACTAGCTAGAAGTTTCTGTTCTTGGCAACTAGGAGAACCTGACTACCACAGTAAAATAAGGTGGGACACTGATGACGTCACACAGAGAATATTCTCCAGATAAAGAAAGGAAAAGCATTACTTGTGTTACCCATGTATCCCACTTCATTCAAATAAACTATTCTTTTCTTTTTTTTCTAAGAAAAGTATGGCCTTTAGCGCTTTGAGGAGGAAAGGTAAGTGTGGGACCTAGCTAGTGTTTTTTTGGTTTTTTGTTTTGTTTTAAAAGATTTTATTTATTGGGCGCCTGGGTGGCTCAGTTGGTTAAGTGACTGCCTTCGGCTCAGGTCATGATCCTGGAGTCCCGGGATCGAGTCCCGCATCGGGCTCCCTGCTCGGCGGGGAATCTGCTTCTCCCTCTGACCCTCTTCCCTCTCGTGCTATCTCTCATTCTCTCTCTCAAATAAATAAATAAAATCTAAAAAAAAAAAAAAAGATTTTATTTATTCATTTATTTCAGAGAGAGAGAGTATGTAAGTGGGGGGGGCATGCTTAGGAAGAGGGAGAGGCAGAGAATCTCAAGCAGACTCCACAGTGAGCACAGAGCCCAACATGGGGCTCAATCTCATGATCCTGAGATCATGACCTGAGCCGAAACCAAAAGTCAGACGCTCAACAGACTGAGCCACTCAGGTACGCCAGGACCTAGCCAGTGTTAACAACAAACAACAACAACCTTCAAAAGTTATGGGGATAAAAATTATTTCCAAAAACATACATTTTTCATACTGTTACACACCATCCTCATACCGCCTACACTGAGGTAAACAGGTAAGTATAAAATCTGAATAACATTTCCTGAATTTAAATACAAAGATGACCTTATGGACTATTCAAAGAGCAGATAAGAATCTGCATTGATCCCACTTTTACAGTCTTGTCCAGTCCCCCTTAGGAGCCAATGGCTAGTCTATCTATAAAAAGGATCTAGTCAAGTCAACTGCCTGCATCCATCCATCCATCCATCCACCCATCCATTCTTCCAATAATTCTTTGTATCTACTCTGTGCGAGGCACTGTACTGGGTAATAGAGACATCAAGATGTGTAAAACATGATTCCCACCCATCAAGAAGCCCACAGAACAGTAGCAGAAATAGTCAAATAACTACAGTGCAATGTGATGTTATATAACAGGCATGAGCAAAGTTTTATGATAGCCCCTAACTGCCCAGAGGAATGAAAGAAAAGATTCAGAGATGGGATGCTTGAGCTGGAACTTGAAGCAAAATGGGAAATTCCCAGGGAAATGCAGTTTCAGCTCCTAATCCAAAGGATAGAAAATTCTGTTTCTAGTTTAGTGACAGGAAAATTAAAACACAGAAAGAGAACATCTACTGGAGCCTCATATTGACAAGGCAAAACTACAGTACAACTCAGAAATCCAGACTGCTTACCGCTAGACTTCTAGCACCTAAAGACATGGTCCCCATTAATTTTTAATACTCAGAAACAAAACATCTAACTTTCAATGTCTGCCTTATTCTATGCAATGATCTTACCAAGGATATTCAACTCCTCTAAAAAGTCCTTAAACTTTTGTGGAAGGAAGTTTAAAAAGCCAAATACATTTCTCACTAATAGAATAAAATCCCTGATTTTATGACTGAACCTTACATTTACTAATTTTGAAACCAACTAATACTGAACAGTTCTTAAGCAAAGGAAAAGAGTTGATTTCAATGTGAAAAAATTGGGCCTAAGGGATGAAGTTGGTTCTGAGTCACCAGACTCTGTGGGTTTTCACCTAAAAAGTTTTCTTTGTTTTTGACTGTGCTAGGGAGTGCATCCTGAGAGATTAAATTACTATCCAAATGTGTTTTTCAAAAAGGGAAAAGAGGGGAAAGGAAGTACTCCAACATGGATTTGCACTGAAGTATCTCCGACATAAGTTAGTGCTCAAGTTGGATGGTCTAAACTCCCAGTGTAACATTTCATAGGTGAAGACTCCTTGAGGTCCCTGCACACCTTTGAGGATATGGACTGCTGCCAATTTAAAGAGGAAAAATATTAAGGGTGTGCAAGGAGTGAGGAAGGACTGCTGTTTTATGCACAGTTCCTTTCAAGAATGAGGACTACTTCCTACATTTATTAAGAGGTTTTTGTCTTTTTTTGTTTTTTAAATAGAGACAATAAAAACAAGTGTGTGAAGGCACAAAAGGGGAACTTGAAATCCAATTGCAATACTCAGGCAATTGGCCTCTTTCTCTGTAGCATTACAGAAACCTCCTGAGTACCAAAAAGCTTATGCTTTTACAAAAGAGAACTGCCCCATCATTGCATGGTACAACTACTGCTTCCTTAGACCTTTCAGGAAATGATCCCCAAGTATTTTTCACAAACCCTATAGGGCTTCCTACAGTAAAATACAGTGACAGAGATCAAACCTAGAATAACTGCAGAACTGCGGTGATGAGCTGTACTAGTTCCAAATGATTAATTTTCTGCTCCAAATAATGGGACAAAGTATCATCCCACAGACACAGTCAGTTTCACGGTGATGGAGATACATGTATGGATCATCTGAGGCACAAGCTGTGATTGGTCTTAAGAAAATAAAAAGTAGAACTGGGTTAAAAACCCACATCTCATGATTTCTCGTCCTTATTCAGCCAAAGCGTTGAGCTGCTTCAGGTCTGTATCATACACATTTTGGATCTTTCTCGGGAGTTGCTCTGAGTGCAGCATGATAAGGAAAACCAGATATTTGGCTTGATAACAGTATTCAAGGTATAGGTGCCGCACTCATGGTAAGCTTCTCACCACAGGATATCTGAGAGCTGCTGCCAGAGAGGACTGTGGTCCGCCGATGATGACTAGAGTTCAGTTTTCAAAATTTGGGGAATAATCTGATCATAGCCTTTCCTTCTTGTTACATTATAGGATAGGAATTTAGAGTATTCGGTCAACAGGCTCTCCCAGTAACAGGTGACGTCTTCCATCTGCAAGTGGTTCATAATAAACTGGCTTCCCCTAGAGACAAGATTAACAAGAACATTTAAAGCAGAGCATTTAATAATACTAATAGCTTACATGTGACTGCTTACCTTGTGGTAAGCACTGTTCAGAATGCTTATGCTTTATATGAATTAACTCTTGATTCTCAGAGCCAACCCAATAGCCATCCTAGCCACACACATGCACTTAGCAATAAAACTTAATATATTTTTCTTTTTAAAAAATTTTTTTGACAGAGAGAGACACAGCGAGAGAGGAAACACAAGCAGGGGGAGTGGGAGAGGGAGAAGCAGGCTCCCTACGGAGCAGGGAGCCCAATGCGGACCTCGATCCCAGGGCCCTGGGACCATGACCTAAGCCGAAGGCAGACGCTTAACAACTGAGCCACCCATGGGCCCAAAATTTAATATTTTTTTCTTAAAAAACAAACACATAAGCAGTGAGTGCTCAGAAATTCTGTACATGTTTAATTACCTCAAAGATTTCAGTCTACTTCTATAAAGGATGGGCCTGGGATATATGTGAATGTGTGTTTTCCTCCTGGACAGCTTTAATTCTGATTATCTCTGTATAGTGAGGATGAAATCCAGATATCACCATGATAACGATATTCATATACCTTTAGCTGGGGCAAAATGGGGATGAAAAGGAAAAATGAACAGAGCTTACCTTTCAGCAATTTCTTGAGCCACATCATCATTTGCCTTTACAAAATGCAACAACTCCCTAAAATTGAAAGAATTATTAGACTCTAAAATACAGACCAAACTAAGAAAGAAAGACCATATATATACTGGCACAAAAATAAACAAATAGATCAATGGAACAGAATAGAGAACCCAGAAATGGACTCACAACTATATAGTCAACTAATCTTCAACAAAGCAGGAAAGAATATCTAATGGAAAAAAAGACAGTCTCTTCAACAAATGGTGTTGGGAAAACTGGACAGCAACATGCAGAAGAATGAAACTGGACCACTTCCTTACACCAGACACAAAAATAAATTCAAAATGGATGAAAGACTTAAATCTGAGACAGGAATCTATCCAAATCCTAGAGGGGAACACAGGCAGTAACCTCTGACCTTGGCTGTAGCAACAGCCATATTATTAGACATGTCGCCAGAGGCAAGGGAAACAAAAGCAAAAATGAACTGTTTTGTCTTTATCAAGATAAAAAGCATCTGCACAGCAAAGGAAACCATTAACAAAAATAAAAGGCAGCCTACGGAATGGGAGAAGATATTTGCAAATGACATATCTGATAAAGGGTTAGTATCCAAAATCTATAAAGAACTTACCAAACTCAACACCCAAAAAACAAATAATCAAATTAAGAAATGGGCAGAAGACACGAATAGACACTTTTCCAAAGAAGACATCCAGATGGCTAACAGACACATGCAAAAATGCTCAACATCACTCATCATCAGGGAAATACAAATCAAACCCATGATAAGATGCCACCTCACACCTGTCAGAATGGGTAAAATTAACAACACAAGAAACACTAGGTATTGGTGAAGATGTGGAGAAAGGGGAACCCTCTTGCACTGCTGGTGGGAATGCAAACTGGTGCAGCCACTCTGGAGAACAGTCCGGAGGTTCCTCAAAAAGTTAAAAACAGAACTACCCTATATCCTAGCAATTGCACTACTAGATATTTACCCAAAGGATAAAAAAAATACAGATTCAAAGGGGTACATGCACCCTGATGTTTATAGCAGCATTATCCACAATAGCCAACCTATGGAGACAGCCCAAATGTCCATCAACTGATGAATGGATAAAGAAGTCGTGGTATATATACACAATGGAATATTATTCAGCCATCATAAAGAATGAAATCTTGCCATTTATAACAACGTGGTTGGAGCTAGACTGTATTATGCTAAGTGAAATAAGTCAGTCGGAGAAAGACAAATACCATATGATCTCACTCATATGTAGAATTTAAAAAGAAAACAGATGAACATATGGGAAGGGGGAAAAGTAAAAAAGGAGAGAGGGAAAACAAACCATAAGGGACTCTTAACGACAGAGAACAAACAGGGTTGATGGAGGGAGGTGGGTGGGGGATGGGCTAGACAGGTGATGGGTATTAAGGAGGGCACTTGTTGTGATGAGCATCGGGGGTTGTATGTAAGTGAGGAATCACCGAATTCCACTCCAGAAACCAATATTGCACTAAATTTTGTTAACTAATAAAATTTAAATAGATAAAAAAATAAAAATAAAAACAGTTCCTTAAATTTGAAAAGAAAAAAGAAAGAAAGACCATAGACTGAGATCTATGGTTAATCTCTAGATAGGTGGATAATGGATTATTTCTTTTTTAAAGCACAGATATTAGAGTCCTCATAAGACCAAAACAACAACAACAACAAAAGCCCACAAACAGGCTGAAGGCAACCTGTTGTAGATGTGGGACATACGTGAGAAAATAGAGAAATGTTCAATGATATACATCAAATATCAACAGTGAAGAAAAATTTCCTTTCTATCTCCTGCTCCTGCCCCCAGAAAAGGGCACTGGGCTTATGTTTCTGGCCCCTTTCCATATCTCTTCTTAGTTTCTCCTATCATGTGAGAAAATCTGCCTCAGCTTCAGTGGGGTCAGTTCTCATGTTGTATCTGAAAGTCCCTTTGACAATATAACAACATCTAATATCCTTATCTTTAGTCTTTGAGAGATAAGAGCTTTTCTACTGCGTATTATCTGAATGTTACATTTTAAACTAGCTTTAGAGCACTTTTTCAAATTAAATCTCACTTACAGCCTAGTTGAATAGTGACACTATATATGCAAACCATGTAAGGAGAAAAAGCTGTCAAGGGAAAGAGTCATCAGTAGTAAATGTCTTAAATGGCTGGGGTCTTAGAGGCAGATTGTGGGAATCATTAGGCACTCTGCTTGGGGGAGAGCCACTCACTGGACATTGGAGAGATCTGTTTTGACTGGAATATAGTGAATCCACGGCTTCAGTTGTGGATAGAAGAATTCCAGCCACTCATCACCAACATGGAAAACAAGTGAACCACACAGGAAGAGGTGTTTGAACCGGAAACTTGCAGCTACACCTCGAAAATTAAACAGATACCTGGGAAAGAAAGAGCAAAATATACTTGATACTATATGTCTGCTGCCACAAATATCTTTTTCTTCTTATTCCCTCCTCTCCTTCTCTCCTTTTATAACCCCTCTCCCCTCCCTTTCTATTTTCAGCTTTCCAGGACACATCCACATATCCCTGTGGGATTCCAGGGGCTACTGACTGTTCCAGGGAATGTCAGGGTGAGGCAGGAAGGAGGATTCTTTCTCCAGACAGAGCTAGATAGGGCCACGAGCTGGGTGCTAGACAGAGATACAAGGCTCAGATGGAGACAGTAGCTTATGCTTTCCTATAAGCTTTCCTGGGCCTAATGTCTCTAACGAGTCATGGCTCCCCAAAACCTTGTTTTTCCCATAAGGTACCCCACCAAAGCCTCTGTTGGTCCCTGTTCCCTCTTCTTCTGAAGTTGGGAGAAGAGAACCAGGCATACATAATCAATCTTCAAAGAAATACCCTCTGAAAAAAAGCCATGTTAGAACATTTTCTTTTCAGCATTTCTTATGCACCCCTGTCTCCGACTCGAGTTGCTTCTACCCTATACTTCCCACTGTGCAGTGTAATCAGTATTCACCTCTCTGAATCCCCCTACTTCCTCCTCCTGACCTGGTTTTACCTGTTCACCTAATCCTTAGTCCTAGCATTGAATTATAGTATTTCAGTTACATATACTTTATTCATTTTGAAACATAAACCCTTCTTTACCTGATAAATACTTCATCTAACTTCAGCTCTTGGCTGGATGGGGTGTGGAGAGAGGGAGGCCCACCACTTCGCTTACTAGCAGCAAGGTCTATGGAGGCAGGGACCATTATTGTCTCTGCAATTCCCACAGAACTCAGGCGAGAGCCTCGTGCACATAGCATGGTCTCGGTAAACAACAACCAAATGAATGAACAGGACTTTCATAAACCCCAGCGGGGCCCTAGTATTGAAGTTCTGCCCCAAAGTGAAGCTATTCTGAATGCAACAGGGAAGCCAAGAGTCAGGAGTCCTGGAAGCCTTACTTGTATTTGCAGTGATCCACAAGATGGACATCCTTAGCAGCTGGCTTCCCCAAAGTATCCTTTAAGCGAAAAGGAAGCTGTTAGTATTGAGAGTGGTAGTATTTATTGAAGACCACTGTGCAGCAAGCATTATTGAGCATTCCATCAACATGACCTCATTTCAGTGTCCTGAATAAATCCATTCAGAGATGTTATTATCTCATTTTATAGATGAAGAAGCCATGACCTTGAAAAGTTGGGAGACTTGTTCAGGGGCATGTGGGCCTAAGGAGAGGAGCAAGGGCCTGTCTGATTTTAGAGTTTAAGCTCCCAGGGCCATGTGGATCCTTCTCTGAACTTAAGAGGTCCTAACCTACAGCATGTTTCACTCTGTGTAAATTATACATAGAGGATGTTACAGGTGGTGGCTGGCGGGCTTAGAGGTGTAACCCACACACAGATTCTGTTGGGGATGCAAAGTATTTAAAAATAAAAATTCAAACCATTGCCAACATTCACAGGTGGTAAGATATTTCTTACAAAGATCCAGATTTCCAAGTTTTCTTATAAAGAAAAAGGAAGGTCTGGTAAACTCAGCTTCTATTCCCTTGGCAGAAATGACCGGACCTTTAGCGCTCTTTCTTGCTCACGCCTGTGGCCCCCAGGGGCATTTCAGTTTGAGACCGCCATCTATATTCCAGCTACCCTGCCAGATGGTAAACGTCTTAATGAGGGAAATAAGTCTGGTTTGCTTTCATAGCTTCCCACAGTATAGGCTGTGCTGAATGGATACATTTTTCATATTTTTATTTTTCAACAAAGTTTCTTAGACTTTTGCTCCTGTTCGATTAAAACTATCAAAATAATGCATCTCAGACACGCTTAGTTTTCCCACAAGAAGTTTAAAACTTTTTTTCTTATCATCCTCATGTGGTATATGGAAATTTCAAAAGAGGATATTTAGGGCTTAAAGTTCTTTGAATATGGCAAGTCACACAGTTAAGAAGACAGAGATGAACCCCAACCTGAAGGAGCCAGTCATTGCTCACTTCACCTTACAGTTCACCTCTCTGAATCCCCCACTTCCTCCTCCCGACCTGGTTTTACCTGTTCACCTAATCCTTAGTCCTGGCATTCAATTATAATATTTCGGTTACATACGTTTTATTCATTTTGAAACGTAAATCCTTATTTTCAAACAAATGAAGATGCCTGGACCCCATCCCCAGAGACTCTGATTCATTTGATTCATTTTTTTAAAGCTCTCTGATTGGATTGTATAGTTAAAGAACCACTGGTTTAAACCAGGGGTTGGCAAATTACAGCCCATAGGCCAAATCTGGAGCACTGCTTGTTTTTGTATACAACCCACAAGCTAAGAATATTTTATGTTTCAAATGCTTGAAAAATATCCAAAGAAGAATATTTATGACATGTGGAAATTACATGAAATTCAAATTTCTGTGCCATAAATAAAGTTTTATTAGAACACAGCCTGGCTCATTCATTTACATATTGTCTGTGACTTCTTTCCCCTGTGATGGCAGAGCTGAGCAACTATAACAAGACCATACAATCCACAAAGCCTAAAATATTTACCATTTGGCCCTTTCCATAAAAAGTTGGTGTCCTCTGGTTTAAACTTTCAAAGTGGTAAAAAATACTACTCATAATATGGCCCAGAAAAGCAACGTGAGTTTGAAAAAGAGTAATTTACATATATGCTAATACTAGTTTGTGGAACTTTCTCTACATCCATCTACCACTGACAGGAAACTTAATCTGGAATTCTACCCAGGTGGCAATGTTCTTTGAATGCGAACATGCACTGCTATGGTTCTAGTCAGATGATTGGTGATTACTTTCATAGATTTCCAGGCCTGGTTTTTGGTGTATTCTGCGTCAACAAGTTTTGGATTTTTCCGAGATAGAAGAATGAGAGGATCTCGTTCTGGACTTGTCCTAGAAAAGAAACATGTGACATAAAACAATGTGTCCCACACCATAATACTGTTCCCAATATCTGAAAGGTAAGCAGTGCAATGACCATACACAGAGACGGATAACTTATTGGTTATTTTCACAGCAGAGGAGGGGCTTACTGGGCCCTGAGGCATACAGGTGTTCCCGGCTGTTCCCTACTCTACCCTTCAGGGATGGGGAATATTGGGCCCTTTTGTGCTTGCATCTAATCTTTAAGATTACATTGTTCTGGGCACTACAGACATATCCCAAGGAATGAGTTCCCTTTAGCAGGGTTCGTGTAGCCTCTATAATCATTAGTACTCACAGCTCTGTGACTAGGTAATCACCCCTCCCCAAAATAGCTACATGACCTTTGTTGTCTGTGTTCTGTACAGTCCAGCACAATATTTAAATTAAAAAGAAAGCTAAAGGGCTTAAAAACCTGAAGATTAGATGCAGAAAAAGTCCAAGTTATGGTCCAAGTAGCAGATGGTCTTGACATTTGAGGGGTCCTAGACTCCCTGTGGCCCGCTCTCTAGAAAAGTGCCCTTATCCCCATATAATTTAGAGGAAGTCCTAGAACTCTTCAAGTCCACACACAGGTCCCAAGTTAAGAAGCTGTGATCTCCAGGTCTGAGAATCAGAGAAGTTGGCAAGGACCAGTAAGCAGTGGCTGCTGGGCCTGTCTGCATTCTCAAGTTCACGGCCCAAGTAAATAGAAGGTGTGATCTCTGACAAGAACTGACCAGGAAAACGACTAAACCCTTCTCCCTGTTCTGTTCATCTGTACAGCAAATATTCATCATGTATCTGCATGCTAGGTACTGTTCTTGGCACCGGGGATGTAGGTCTGAGCAACATGGAGAGAGAGGGTCCTTGCCCAACATTTCCCTCTCCCTCCTCTTCTTCTTCCCTGCTTCCCTTTCCATTTCCACCAGTCTCAGTCTGTGCTTTCCACCACTATTTGGCAGCCACATGGCCTTATGAAAAAGGCAGTCAGAATATCTGGTAATGGATGCTGCTCTGCCATTAACTAGCAGTGACTAGCAGAGAGCCAGGTCAGAAGCTCCCTGTAGAAAACTATAATCTCTTAGGCAAGAGGACAAGTCAGCTGTTCTCTTCAATATATACTCAATGCCTAACACACTCAAGGCACTCTGTGAATACCTGTTGAATGACTAGATGAATGAATTTTACTTCTTTCAATTTCAGTTCAATTAAGAGTGATTTGGGCAAGGGGCGCCTGGGTGGCTCAGTCAGTTAAGCATCTGACTCTTGATTTCGGCTCAGGTCATGATCTCAGGGTCGTGAGATCAAGCCCTGAGTCAGGCTCCAGGCTGGGCATGAAGCCTTAAGATTCTCTCTCTCTCCTCCCCTGCTCACACGCATGCACTCTCTTCAAAAAAAAGAGTGATTTGGGCAAATAATTTGAGTTCTTCTCTAGTCTAAAATTCTATGATTCTACATTTACTTCTTAGTTATCCTAGCTTTCTCCTTGAACTACAGTTCTTCACACCCTCAAAATTATTTGTATCTTACAAATATCTTTGTAAATTATCAGAAAATATAGTCACCTTGATCCTCGGAAATATGCTGTAGAATTTTTCTTTTTCCATGGCCACTGTGCTGCTGACCTAAAATTAGATTTCAGTTAGTTTCTATGTTTTTCTCTGAACTATATGAGGATGTGTTTTAACCAGTTCTGAAGATTAGCTCAGAACTTCACATTTTTAAATAAGTCTGACCCAGGCTCTCAAAAGAAAAAGCCCTCCATGACATTATATTCCCTTTTGTTGTTACTTCACTTCTTTGGAGGTGCTAGCCAATAATATCTACAATCCATTTTTCCACTAATAAGTTAACAACACTGAAAGAAAAGTTCCCAGGGTACCTAGGTGGCTCAGTCAGTTAAGCATCTGACTCTTGATTTCAGCTCGGGTCATGATCTCAGGGTCCTGAGACTGAGCCCTGCATCAGGCTCCTCATTCAGCAGGGAGTTGGCTTGAGATTCTCTCTCCCTCTGTCCCTTCCCCTGCTTAGGCACGTGCACATGCACTCTCTCTCTAAATAAATAAATAAAATCTAAAAAAAAAAAAAATTCCCAAGTTCTAAATGACATGTTCAGAGCTGTTAAATGCAATACAATGAGGATTTCTTCTCTACTTTAACTAGAGTGCTGCTACTGATAAATTTAATAGGCAAAGAGAACTGCAGAAAATATCAGAAATTGAATTAAAGGTAAGAAAACAAATCACTCCTTGACTTCATTTTTTGGATGCACAGGCAGTATCACCAGAAATTTGTCTGATGTTGCAAAGCATCCTGATATTCTTGAGACTGTACTAAGTGCTCCGTCAAAGTCCCTGAAACTCAGGTCTCAGTACACATTACCATGACCAGCTTTCCTTGCTGAAACTGCTAGCTCACAGATGCATCATTCTTAACTTCCTTCGTAGGAACCCTGCACAGAAGTTGCACAGTGTCTTCCTCTGAAAAAGGAGGGGAAGGGCTGAACTGGAGTTAATGAGGGATTGGCGGGCTGTTTACCACAATGGAGAGACTTAGGATATACACTTGTTAAGTAGAGATACTTTTAGATACATAAATGTCACATTACTCATTTTCTCTCAGCTGAGAGCATTGCTCATTTTCCTGGCCTATCTTATAGCTCTTTCTTGCTGGACCATCTTTACTGGATTCTTCAATCCAAGGCCAGAACTATCTATCACTGTGCTCCATATGCCCTCCCACCAAAAAAGAAACACCATAACCCTGGGTTATTTTTGTTTTATGAGATTTTTTTTTAGTGGAAAAGATGATATATCCTCATTATAGAAAATTCTAATGGAAAAGCATAAAGTAAAAGTAGAAAAAAATCATCTGGAACCTTCCCAATCCCACTTTTAGCAATTTAACGTTTCTGTGAAGAATTTCCTTCCAGTCATTTCTCCGTATCAGTAGTTCTCAGCTGGTGGTGATTTTGCCCCTTTCTCCCAGAAGACATTTGGCCATGACTATAGACATTTTTGATTGTCACTACTGGGGGACTGCTACTGGCATTTAGTGACATTAAGACCAAGGATGCTAAATATCCTGCAATGCCCAGGGAAGCCCCCTACAACAAAGAATGATCCAGCCCGAAATTCAGTACTACCAATATTGAGAAACCTTGCTCTATATAACAGAGATCATATACGTATATATATGTACATATATATATATATATACACACACACACACACATACTCATTCTCACAAACTCTTGAAGTGGGTTTTATTATCCCTACTTTATAGTTGAGGTTCTCGAGAGGCTAAGCAGTTTGCCCAGAGTCACACAGCTAACAAGAGCCAGAGTTTGAACCCGGAGTCCCTTTACTTTGCACTCATGCACAATATTCCATTTTACAGCCATGTCATAATTCACTTCATTACTTATTCATGGGCTTTTAAGAAGTTTCCAACTTTCTGCTTTAAGAAACAACACTGTAGTGAACATCTTTGTGTACACATCTTTACATACTTGTCTAACTCTTCGGCATAAATTCTAGAAGTGAAATGGCTGGGTCAAAGACATACACATTTTATATTTTGATATATATTGCCAAACTACCTAACAAAAAAGTATCAATTTACACTGAAATTTTGAGTATAAATGTCCTCAGTCCCTGGGAAAGCTGCATTTAATATACACAGACTTGTACCATCTCTGTTTTCCCTCGCCCTCATTCTTTCTATCCACCTACCTACCCCTCAAAAGACCTATGTTAGGACTTTTTTTTCCAGGCAAGTGTTAAAAGTGGCACCCTGGTGCTGAGTCAGACCTCTTTTATAACCACCCCATGACAGTAGAGACAGAAATCTTTAAATCTACAGAAACACTTAATTCTTCTACAGAGTGAAAAGTTAAGTCAATGGGGACAAACTCCCAAAAGATTAGAAAAATAGAAAAAGAGCAGGCAGGCATCAATGCAGATAAACAAGCAGATTATTAAAGTTTCAAATTAAGAAATGAAATCACATGGCTAGAACTTCTGAATGGAAGGCTCTAAAAAATAAAACTGTAATTCTATGATCATATACTTTTTTTTAAAGATTTTATTTATTTATTTGAGCGAGAGAGTGGGGGTGGGGGGAGGGGCAAAGGGAGAGGGAGAAGCAGACTCCCCACTGAGCAGGGAGCCCAACTCAGGGCTTGATTCTAGGACCCAGAGATCATGACCTGAGCTGAAGGCAGATGCTTAACTGACTGAGCCATCCAGGTGCCCCATAAATGAATTCAATTGAAGAATAAGAGGGGAAGATATCAAAAGAAAAATATGTTCTTATAAACTTAGATTTTAAAAGATAATCTATGTCCCTAAAAATTGCTTAGTAGTTTACAAGGTGGGGGGGGGCACAGTAACTACACAGTGGAGGAATTGGCAACACCTTGACCAGGTGATCAAAATAAACAGCTCTAAAGAGGCGTGGATGGATGCAAATCACTTAGGTTAAGTATTCGGGCCAGGGATGCATGAGTTGAATCTAATCATGAAAAACAGACAAAACCAAATTGAAGAACATTCTATAAAATGCACAGCCTGCATTCTTCAAAATGTCCATGTTATGAAAGAGAAAGACAGACTAAGGAGCTGTTCCCGATCACAGGAGACTAAGTAGACATGACCGCTAAATCCAACCCACGAGCCTGGATTGTATCATGTACTGGAGGCAGAATGTGCCATATAGGACATTATTGGCATAATTAAATGTTGTACCAATATTGTTTCCTGAATTTGATCATTGCAGCATGGTTATAAAAGAGAATACCCTTGCTCTTAGGAAATACACACTAACATATTAAGATGTACAGGGTCATAAGGTGTGCAACATACTCTCAAATAGTCCAGAAAAAAAGAAATTGTGCATGTATTACATATGTGGCCTAGAAGTCTATTACAGAAAATAATGAGGTAAATTATTATCCCCACAATGGAATATCATGCAACTGATAAAAATAATGAGGTAGTTTCATATGTACTGACATGGAAAGATTTCTAAGACACACTGACAAGTCAGTGGGAAAGTTGCTGATGTTAGACATACATTTTTATGAGCATGTATAGGTTTCATAATCAGAAAAACAGCTTGTTTTTAAGGATTTAAGAAACAAAGTAGGGGGTGCCTGGGTGGCTCAGTCAGTTGAGCATCCAACACTTGATTTTGGTTAGAGCCATGATCTCAGGGTTGTGAGACTGATCCCCTTGTCAGGCTCCACACTCAGCACAAAACCTGCTTAAGATTCTCTCCCTCTCCTGCTGCTGCTCCCCCCACTCCCTAACCCCAGCTCACACTCTCTCTCTTCTAAAAACAAAACAAAACAAAGTAGATGTATAGTAGGTCAAAAAAGAGCTGTAAAAAGAAGGAAGAATGTGAAAAGAGCATTTGCAATTACCTGAAAAAAAAAAAGATTAGATAATTAAGGCCAAGAATAACTTAAAGAAAAACTGGTTAAAGACCTTTTTAGGGGCGCCTGGGTGGCTCAGTTGTTAAATGTCTGCCTTCGGCTCAGGTATTGATCACAGGGTCCTGGGATCGAGCCCCGCATTGGGCTCCCTGCTCAGCGGGAAGCCTGCTTCTCCCTCTCCCTCTGCCCCTGCTTGTGTTCCCTCTCTCGCTGTGTCTGTCAAATAAATAAATAAAATCTTTAAAAAAAAAAATTAAGACCTTTTTATTTTTCCCTTTTAAACTTATGTTCAAAACCAAAAGCTACATAGGAAATGATGGTCTCAATGTCTGGAGAGCATAGGTAAGGTTAACTGGTAGTGTGGACGCCTGGACTTCAGGCCTAAATTGGTTCCTGACCTTAACCAAGTCACTCAATTTCTCCGGGCCTTCCTTCCCTCATCCCTGAAATAAAGAATTGAAAAGGACGATTTCCAGTCCTAGTTCAATGAAGTATGAGACCGAGGTATCTTAAAAAATAATTTTTGAGGGTGCCTGGGTGGCTCAGATGGTTAAGTGTCTGCCTTCGGCTCAGGTCATGATCCCAGGGTCCTGGGATTGAGTCCCGCATCAGGCTCCCTGCTCCTTGGGAGACTGCTTCTCCCTCTGCCTCTCTCTCTCTCTCTCTTTCTCTCTGTCTCTCATGAATAAATAAATAAAATCTTTTAAAAAAAAATAATTTTTGGGGCTCCTGGGTGGCTCAGTCGGTTAAGCGTCTGACTTTGGCTCAGGTCATGATCTCAGGGTCCTGGGATCAAGGCCCCCTGCATTGAGCTCCGTGCTCAGAGGGGAGGCTGCTTGTCCTGCTCCCTCCCTCCCTGCTCCTCCCCCAAGCTCATGTGCTTGCTCTCTTTCTCTCTCTCTCTCTCTCATAAATAAAATCTTAAAAAAAAGAATTTTCAAAATAACACCTACTGGATAATAGACTCATTCTTTACCTGGCAGCTCCAACTGCCACTAAGGACTGCAGCCCTACCTGTTTCTCCAGGAAAGGGACATTCTTTTCACCCCCATTGAATCTCCAGCCACATGTGGTACAGGTGACAGATATTTGTGGAAATAAAGTTGAATTGAATTTTTGCTTTCCCATTACCTAAGACCTATAAAGACCATATTTCTAGAAGTATGCTAATTAGGTACCAATGTTGATTGAATCATTAATGCAAAACGTAGCCAGGTAAGAAATACCTACAGCTTGGATGACCTGGACAATCTAAATTCTGAAATGATAGCAGATCAGTCAACTGGCCCAGGCACGTCTCCGTTGTGAATCAGGAGGATCCGGAATAAGCTTGTAATTGAGATATCTCTGGGACATTTATACCCTCCTCATCCCCACCTGGAGGACTTAGCTCTAAATTATAAAGTGCATTTATGTTCCTCCAAGTCATTCTCTATTCTCCAAAACATGGTCACTCATTTTTTTCTAATTATAAAAGGAATTCACTCTTATTTGGAGAATCTTAAAAATACAGAAAAATTTAAAGAAGAAAAGAAAGGGCCCCAACAATCCTTTCCACAGAGGCACTGCTGATACTTTAGGGTAGGTTCTTCTGCTCTTTTCTTGTGGATATGTAAGTATTTTATACACATACAAAATTGCTTAAGCTGTAAGCAGTTTTTCTTTTGTTTTTAACTTAAAAGTTAGTCATTTTAAAGTAAATAATTATGTATACCCTACTGTTTATTTCAGGAAGACCCACAAAGAAGGACAAAGAAAACCTCTCTAAAGGACCTACCTTACCAGATCTTCTCTGAAGAGGTCCCACCGTCCAAGACCTGTAGGATAAATTGGCCAAACAGCAGGTCC